GAAACGACAATTTCTAGATAACAGAACGAAAAAAAAAACGGAGTATCCAAAAAATTTAGAATAAAACTATGGAATGAAAAAGTTAGATTCTTGATAAAGTTGGAATAAAAAAATAGATAATGAATAAGAATTTGAATAGAGAGTAAGATTCAGTAATTCTATGTGTTCCGATATAAATTATTGACCAAAAACTCATTATCAAAGTCTTCGTCACGCAATTTGAGGGTGCCAAGGATAAGCAAAGAGACCAAAAGTGATTGATACCTACCGTGAGGAAGAATCTACCGTCCATAAGGCAAAAGCATTTGTGTGTGTTCTTGTGTTACAAAATAGAATCAAGTTTTGTTTTACCACGTAGTGTGCTATGATAGTCTCTTACCATCTTCAAAAATTTATACTAAATGAGTCAACAATCGATACAAGATCAACAATCTCGACACCATTCAGAAAATAAACTCACATAAAAACAAACTCCAATCGGTTTATTGCCACGAATTAGTGAGAATCTCACTGTTTCTTCTTCTTGGAAATGACGACTCAGTTTCGACATTTCACATTCAGTGTAGGAAGAGCAGGAACAACGAGAACAAATGTGATTTGCTACATAATTTTGTTATAGCAAAAAGATGAAAACGTTGAAACTCGTTTAAGTAAACACAAGCTCCTCTTTTTAATATTTTTCTGTTGATCTTACAAAGAAAAAGTGAAGATTCTAAGCTAAGCGCAGTAAAATAAAATATACTCAAAACATTATATAGTCAAATATATAATATATTAAAATCATTATTTACATTCAAGATTTTTAAATATTACAACAATATGTATAAAAAAGAACTGTTAAATTAATCAAAAACTTGAATGCTAAAGGTACATTAAAATGAAAAATCAAGTTGAACTTATGATATCTCTAACGATCAATTGATACTAATCAAAAGACTGGGATACCAAAATTCGGTCGGTTTTCACAATTATGTATTCTAGCATTCAAATTTGTTGACTAATCCAACAATTTAAAACTATACAATGAATGGTGAAAAAGAAAAATCTACAACTATTTGTATGCTTTAAGCTTTTTCGTTTGTCAAAATAATCAAAAAAAACTTGAATGATAAACCTACATTACGGTGAAAACACAATTTGAACTTATGATACCCCTAACGATCAATTGAAACTAATCAAAAGACGGGATACTAAAATTCGGTCGGTTTTCACAATAATACATTTTAACAATCAAGTTTGTTGATTAATTCAACAATCTAAAAGTATAAAATCCTACAAATACCCGTATGTCTTAAGAAAGAGTCTTAACCCATGTTCTTCACGGTAAATGCGCAACCTTTAAATACAACAAAAAAAGAAGAAGTTGATTTAGCATATTGGACAATATAACATGAGAATTAAACCCAAAACAGCATAGTACTCTGTTTTTGGCTATAAGCAAAATTGAACAAACAAAAAAGAAACTTGTTATAAAACAGTGATTAACCCCTAGTCATTGCTCAAACATACGATATAGACGAACACGAGAAGAAACTACACAATCTATTTTCTTATTACGAAATTCTCAAAACCAAACCTTTCGGATCTTAAGTGTAATTTCAAAAACGATGGTGCTTCGATGACAAGAACGTAACCTAAAGATGATTCGTATAAAAAAGAAAGAAAGAAATTTCGTCATGAACAAAGTCTGGATCCACCCCTTTGCTTCTTGTTTACGAATTACGAGTAGGAGGAGAAGAACAAGTTTGTATCAGATCGATCTGATGTAGCTTTATGATTTGAGAGAAAAATAATATAAATTTGAAAGATCAAAAGCAAAGGATTATTGAACTTGTAGGCTTCTGTGTCTTTTTTATAAGCAACTTGATTTCCTTTTAATACGGCTCTTTTTTTTTTGTTTTTTTACTGTTGTAAAAGTGACCGTTGAGAATTTTCTACCGTTCAAAACAGATTTGACTTGATATTGAT